GTATGTTAAAATACTGTAATTACTTCTTGAATTTAAAGTGGAAATTTGCATCATAAAAGCGAAACCTACTCTGTTGTGCTGTTCAAACCTACATCATGCAGAAAGTAGGAGACCAAATGAATTTAGGAATCTCCTGCATGAAGAAGAGATTGCATAGGAATCAGTGACTTAAGAATCCCTTGCATGTGCTTCATGTTCTTCTGAAGTAATAGTGCTTTGGGGAAAGGAATGTGGGGCTGTTTTCAAATGCTCTAATGATAAAAATGCTTCTTTGGTCCGAGATTGAAAGGGATATAGTTGTCAACTTGACTAAATTAACTAGTTTTAAACAATTCCAGTTTTTGTTAAAAAAAAAAAAACCACACAAAGTTAATAAGGTACATACAGAATATTTTTATTTCCTTTTGTAAACGTTGTATATTCCCATGTTAATATCTTTCAGCAGTAAATTGACTGCCTGACCAAGAGAAGCTATAAATCTAAAGCACCATTAAATATACAAAATAATCAAACTGAGAGATATTTGAGCTTACTTCTTTCAGTTATTGGAATGTTAATTAACTATAATTGGTATACAATTTTCATAGAGAAAGGTGATTTTTTGAGTTGATGGGCAGAGCAGTACTCTTTGTGTCTGGATTGTATACAAGATTGAATAAACTAAATTTTTGACCCTGTCTTTAGCGTATTGTTAATCTGAAAATACATTAGTCCCATGTACATGTTTCTATTCCTATTGAAACTCCTACCAAAAGTCCACAGTGGCTCCTATGAAGAAAAGTTGAGATAGAAACCTCCACAGCAGAATAATCTCCTTCCTCACATCTCAGGTAGGAAAGACGACAGAGATGAAAAAGGATACAGCAGAATAAATCAGTGCACCAGTACTATGGTGATAAGCACAGTATACAAACCACAAAGTATAGCTTGAATCTTTTAGTTTGCACATGCTCAGTAGATATTAAAATGGGCTCTATCTTAGTATGTCAGCACCCACTTTTCCAAAATATCTAGGTGCTTCTTTCTTGATACCCCTAAAAAAATAATTAATTCCTGCAATTTTCGCTTCCAAAATGGTATACTGAAAATCAGTAATACAAGTTTTCAACTTGAGATGATAGTCCCTTTGCTACCTGGATCCAAAGGAGGCCAGCTTTTACTTATTAGTCTAATATTTTAGTCTAACTACATCATCACAAACTTTTACTTAGGTAATGTTCTGCCAGAAACCTTTTTTAATTAAAGAAAAGGACCCTTTGGCCAGGGAAGCTGTTCCCAGAAAAGGATCGTTTGTATGGTTGTGCCAACTGGATCATGAAATGTGACGTGTTCGTTGGAATCATCCCAGAAGCTAGAATGTAAAGGAACAACATTTAGCATAAAAACAGACAAGACTTTTCTGACCCAAAACAAGTGTCTCAAATTGCAAGAGAAAGTATAAACTCTGCTACTACTACACCTATTTTGATGCGCGAATGTTTGAAACCACTCAGTTTATACACACTTGTATTTATTTATGTTGTATGCTAAAAAGGGCACTTATGCATATATTCTTTTAATTATTTTAAAATGTCATAAATATCCCCTATATGCAGTAATGAAATATAACAACACCTACCATCAGTTACTTAGGCAACTTACAAATTCCTGTTCAACAACTGTCCATTCTACAACTTTTCCTTTCCTCCATTTTCAAACGACTGTCAAAAAACACAAACTTTGCAATGTGTCCTGAGGCTCTATCTGATTCTTCTTCTTGGACTGAGCTGTTAGTTGACAGATCTCATCTTCTGTGATGCTGTTGATGAGCGACTAAACCAATCCTTGATTGGCAGCCGATTACAGATGTCACATAGAAAACCGCCAACTGCAGGCGTACTTCGTTCTTTTCGGATCCTATACTTTTCCTGTAATGCCTAGATATGCTGACTCTCAAAGCAATTAAGAGCCAGTGAAGTAGTCTTCTGCCAGAACAATCTGTCTTGAAGTAGAGTTTCCAGATCATTGAGAGAGATGCTGCATGACTTCACATTGGCCTTAAGATGTCTTTATAGCGCTTATACTGACCACCAGTAAAGCGCTTTCCATGAGCAAGCTGGCCATAGAAGACCATCTTTGGTATCCACGTATCATCCATCCTCATAATATGACCAATCCAGAGAAACTGTTTGTTCATAAGCATTACTTTCATGCCCATGATACCACACAGCTTAAGAACCTCCGTGTTAGGAATTTTGTCCCACCAGTTCACGTGGGCAATCTTTCTCAGACAATGCATATGGAACTGATTGAGCTTCAAAACATGGCAATGATATATTGTCCATGACTCCGAGCCATATAGCAGGATATTCAGGACAACTGCCTGATAAACCACTACCTTGGTATGGAGTTTGATACCATAGTCATTCCATAGGCATTTGGTCAGTTTTCCAAAGGCAGCACTGGCTTTGGCCAATTTGGCTAGAAGACAGTACACTTCCCAGGTAGCAGAACTTGTCAACAGCTTTAAGGACTGCACCAGCAGCAGAGATCACTGGAGTGCTGGGCTCTTTCAAACAGGCTGAGGCATAACTTCTGTCTTCTTCAGGTTCACTGTGAGTCGAAAATGGTAAGCAGAAGTTACAAAGAGATCAAAAAGCTCCTGTGCATCCTTCACTGAATGAGCCAACAGTGCACAGTGATCAGCAAACAGAAGGTCACGGATAGTTGTAGTAACTACTTTGGTGCGAGCCTGAAGTCTCCGGAGTTTGAAAATACTTACATCAGTTCAGAACTGAATAGGTATGCCCAGCATGCAGTCCTTAAAAGCAACTAACAGCATCACTGAAAAGTAGATGTTGAATAGGAGAAGAGCAAGGACACATCCTTGCTATGTACCGTTTAATATTTCAAAAGGTGCTGATATCTCTCCATTGTTAAGGATGCGACCAAGCATGCCTTTGTGAAAGGACGAAACAATGTTGATAAATTTTTCAGGACATCCAATTCGCCCAAGTATTTTCCAGGGCCCATTTTTGATGACCATGTCGAACACCGTGGTCAAGTCGATGAAAATCACAGAGGTCCTGATGTTGCTCTCTACATTTCTCTTGTATCTCTCTGGCTGTAAATAGCATATCAGCAGTGCCTAGACCAGCATGAAATCTGCACTGGCTTTTCGGTATAATGCCATTTTTTAACATATATAGTGAAAGCCAGTTGTAAAGGATGTGGGCCAGGATCTTACCAGCTATAGAGAGCAGAGAGAAGGCCTGATGGTCATCACAACATGCACGGTCACCTTTTCTCTTGTATATGTGTACAATCAGGGCATCTTTGAAATCCTAGGGGACTAGCTCCCTCTCCCAAATGGTGCTAAATAAATGGGTGAGACCGTACATCAGCTGGCCACCAGCAGCTTTATAAATTTCTGATGGAATTGCATCACTGCCAGGTGCCTTTCCAGATTTCATCTTACTAACAACTTTTTGTACATCATCAAGAGTTGGTGGTATGTCCACCTGTAAATCATTAGCCCACTGAGGAATCTCTTCAAGAACGCTGCTGTCAGAAGTTGATGTCTGGTTCAGTACTTTGTGAAAATGTTCAGCCCAGCAGTCAAGGATTTTAGCACTATCTGTGATCAAAGTAAAGCCATCAGCAGAGCTCACTGGTGTACAGCCAGCAATGCGTGGCACATAGACTGCCTTCAGCTCGTCATAAAATGCTTTAAAGTAATGTCTATCAGCCACATCTTGGAGTTTAACTGCTTGATATTTCCACCAATCGTCTTTCATTTGCCGTAATTTGACATGTGCCTTCTGTTTAGGTAGAATATATGCCAATTTCCTGGAGGCATTCTCTTTATCGTTGATCCAAGCCAGATGTCTCACATGCATCTTATCAAGAAGAGCTTGGGCATCTCTGTCCTTGTCGTCAAACCAGTCTTTGTGCCTATGTTTTTGGAAACCGAGGATCTCGATAGCAGTTCTGTAGGTTGTTTCTTTGATGTCAGTCCAATCATCCTCAATAGTGGGTGACCATTTTTGACCTTCATTGCTGATGGCTAAGGAAGCATCAAGACTGCGTGGAAACAACACTTGTGTCTCAGGTATTTCAAGTTTTCCTGCAATTTTTTTCAGCATACAGCAGAATGTTGACGTTTTGGTGGACAAAGGTTGAAAGAAACAATACTGCATACCATGTAGTGATTGGCCCAGAAGCCAGTGCCACGCATTACACAAGTCAGCTTAACATCAGAAAGATTTCTTTGTTTTGTGATGAAATAGTCAATCATATGCCAGTGCTTAGACCGAGGGTGCATCTAAGTTGCTTTGTATTTGTTTGCCTGTTGGAAGAATGTGCTTGTGATAGCAAGCTCATGCTGTGCACAAGTTTGAAGAAGAGTACCATTTGAGTTCTCACTTCCAATACTATGATATGCAAGCATCTTTGGCCATGTGTTGTAGTCCTGATCAACTCTAGCATTAAAATCACCGAGTAAGTATAGCTTGGATATAAAAGGTACTGAAGAGATCACTAGATTCAGGCTAGCATAGAAAGCCTCCTTTTCATCATCTGCAGGAGTCAAAATGGGTGCATATGCACTAACAAGTACTAGGTATTGTCCCTTTCTCAGTCTGAGCTTTGCGGTCATGAGGCGAGGACTGATGGCATATGGCTCGGATTCAAACTGGGGGACTAGCAGTATCCTCATGGCAAAGCCAACTCCTGCTTGCCTTGAATGACCCTCAGGGAAGCCCACACAGTAGTATGAATAGCCTGCTCCAAACTCTGTGAATCGGCTGCTACCAGAAATACATGTTTCGCTTAAAGCTGCGACATCAATTTTATAACATGCAAGTTCTCTACAAATAATTGCTGTCCTGCATTAATGGTGATCATCACGATCAAGGATGCAAAGTGTAGTTTCTGTTTAGCTGTTGATTTTTCCCTTGTGATAGCAAAAATTGGATATCCAGTCAGTCGCAGTTAATTGACAGGGTGCAGTTGGGACAAGC